CCAAGGCAGCCACGCTGGCTGGCCAGGATGAGAGGCGTCACAGTGCCTCTCCGCCCCCCCCCAGGCCCTCCCAGCCCCAAACACAGGCAGCCTGTTCAGGAAGGCCTGGCGAGGGGGAGGAAAAGTCAGCACTTGTCAGCGGTGGCGGGGCAGGATGAGAAGCCTGCTCAGGCCAGCCGGACAGACAGGGGGCAGCAGGGGTGGGGGAGCAGTCCCAGCCAGCTGGCATGGGAGACATCCAGGGGTGCCAGGATGGGTCCCAGTGGTAGAACCTGGAGGAGGGCTGAAGGAAGGCCAGGAGGTCATGAAGGGGTCTCCTGTTAGCCAGGGTTTTCTCCTTCTGGCTGTGCTGGAGGCATCAACTGCCTTGTTCCCAACATCAGGGCGCAGCTGTCCTCTATCCAGTTACAGTCGAGGACAAGCTGCCGTCACCAGCACCAGCACCACCATCACCTTTATGTCTACCCACCTCCCCTCCTGAATCAGCTTTGGGGAGGCTGCCTTAGAGGGTCTGCAGAGGGATGCTTGCTTAATGCAGCAGATCAAATCCAGGACTCTGGAAAGGTGATGTTCTGGCTGGTGCCAGGGTGTCCGTGTGGTGGGCACTTCCTCTTTTCTTTCCCTTCTTCCAGGGCCACTGCTTCAGTGTCAAGCGGATCTTAGCTCGATCCTTTGCCCTCCTTTTTCTAACTGTGACTCTTGGCCTCAGTGGCCCTGTCTGTAAAATGGGGATGTAGTAGAAGGTGCAGGAGGCATGGGTAAAGCTCCTTGTTGACCATGGAGAGGACGTGCTACAGTGGGGGGGGATTGAAGCCAAGCGCTGTGATGGCTGGGCCGGGGAGGCAAGTCAGCCCTAATCAGGACCAAAGGAGGAGTGCCCACCTGGTACAGGGCTGGGTGGCTCATATCAGTGGTGGGTATGGACTAAGTGACCCCTGGCCATAGCCCAGCTCCAGTCCGTCAGTCCTCAGCCCTGAGATCCAAGATTTGCAGATCTGCTGGATCTAAGAGGGTGCAAGTCTGAGTCCTCTGCACCCTGGAGCTGGGCCAAGAAGACAGGAGCTCATCAAGGGGGTGGAAGTTGGAGGGCCGGGGAGAAAGGAGTAGCAGACAGGGGGCATGCCAGGCCAAGATGAGTTACAGCTGTCAGCATTTTCCCCTTCATCCCCAGGAGATAAGGCCTCCTCAGCCAGGGCAGAGGACGGGATCTGTTCTCCACCTAAGCTCAAACGTGTGGGCTCTGGCAGTAACCTTGAATCCTAATGTAAGTCCAGGGTGGATCCAGAAATGCAAGGAGTCATTGGGATAACCTTCCATCCCAAAAGCTTGTCTGGTACACCTTATCTGGCAGATCTTCCTGCAGTCCCTGCCCCTAGTCCTCCCTGGGGTCCCACCTCCCATCTGGCCCTCACTGTCACCCCATGGACTCAGTCCTGTCGACCTAGTCTCCCCCTGCCACCTTGGATCCCTGGCCTGGGGCACCCATGTCACCAGGCAGCAGGGGGTACATGGCAGGGGTGTGACTTGCTGCTGCTGCTGCTCACGGTGTCAACAAAAGCAACAAAATTTTCCTGAGCTTCACCCCTGTGCAGGCTTGTTGTGCAGTACTTCATTTAATCTTCACTATAGCCCTTTTTTTTTGAGACGGAGTTTCACTCTTATTGCCTGGGTTGGAGTGCAATGGTATAATCTCAGCTCACCGATACCTCTGCCCCCTGGGTTCAAATGGTTCTCCTTCCTCAGTCTCCCGAGTAGCTGGGATTATAGGCATGTGCCACCACACCCACTAATTTTGTATTTTTTAGTAGAAACAGGGTTTCTCCATGTTGATCAGGCTGGTCTCAACTCCCAACCTCAGGTGATCCACCCGACTTGGCCTCCCAAAGTGCTGGAATTATAGGCATGAGCCACCACGCCTGGCCAACAACAGCCCTATGATTACCCTGATTTTACAGAAAAACTGAGGAACATGAATTAAGCAACTTTCTCAGACATAAAGCCAGTCAAGGATGGAGGTGGGATTCATGCTCTGGGGCTGGTGGCAGAATCTCCTTGGAGAAGAGGGTACAGTTGGAGGGAAGAGTGAACGGGAGTGAGGGCATTCCAGGCACAGAGCTGTGAGCTAAGGTTTGGAGGGGGGAGTGCACTTGGTGTGGGGTTGTCCTCCTTTCCTTAGGAAAGTGCTTCCTTAACTCTGATCTGAGTTATTCTTGTTGCAATGGCTGTAGGCTAACAGAGAAACAGATCCTAAAGTTCAGGGAGGCCAGAGGTGGGGCCCCCACCCCTGTGGATGAATGAAGGGGTGTCGGAGCCATGCATGCTGGAAGCACATACCTTTCCCTCTCCTGAACATCCCAACTCCAGAAAAAGAAGTGTGCCTCCTCCTGGCCGTGGAGGAGGTGAAACCAACAGCAGTATGTAGAGGCTGAGCCAATTCCTTGAGCCGGGGAGGGGAGTGTTGATCAGCTTTCGGTGATCAGTCTGCCAAACGGCCAGTCGGTTTTCAACCCATGACTGCCTGCCTGTAGTCTAGGCCATCAGGGGTGCCCTCCAGTCCCATCAGTGCGCTGGTCTGTCTGTTGGGAGACCCGGTGAGTCAGCAAGTCTCTAGGGATGAGTGGGGAGCCTCTATCAGTCACTCCAGAGCTCTCCATCGGCTGGAGAAAATATGGCAGAATAGGTTTGTCTTTAGAGAGGTGGAGATGGCAGGAGAAGGGTAGCGGGGAGGAGGGGTTAGACAACAAGATGGCAAAGGTGGTGTAGACGGTAGTCACTGGGCAGGTGGCAGATTGGTGATGGTGCTAATGTTGCCTTGGTGATGCTGGAGGTGGTGGCAGAGGTGCTGGTGCTGTACCGGTTGTGATGGTGCAGATGGTGGTGATGGTGGTTATGTTCATGGTTACAGCAGTGCTCATGGTGGTAACGGTGATGCCAGTGGTGGTGGTGGTAGTACTGGGAGGGACCCGAATGCTGGTGTTGGTGTTACTGATGGTAACGATGGTTACTGATGGAGGTCCTAGTAGCAGCGGTGGAAATGGTAGTGAATGGATGCTGTAAGTGGAGCAGGGGCAGGGATCAGCCCCTCAGCAGCATGGTCCCCCATGTCAGAGGCAAAGGGAGAGCTTCAGGTTCGTTGGAGGCCCCTCGATCCCGGCAAGTCCAAGTTGTGCTCTCTTAAGCCCCATCATTCTATGTCTACCTCTGCCCCAGCCGGCTCAGCCGTAGCTATGGAAGCAAAGAGACTAGGATAGAGGAGCTGGGCCCAGCTGCCAGCACGTGGGGATCTGTTCCAGCCCTTCCTGGGGTCCAGCTGATATCTCAGGGTCCACCTCAGCCCCCAGAGGCAACAGAACCACTGGCCACCCACAGACGCAAACGCTAAGGAGCTGCCGCCTCACTCACAGACGCGCACACACTGCCCTATGCCCCAAAATACCTGGGCACGTGCACGCTCACAAACATGTCCATCTGGCGTCCCACACTGACATGCCGGACAGTCCCCGCGTGAGAACGCGCACAGATGGGCACACACGAGTGCACGCACCGGCCACACTCGCGCACGCACAGAGACGCGCATGCGGCTCCGCTAAGTGGAACCAGCAGAACCCGAGGCCGGCCGAGCCAATTGGAGACTCCTTGGCCCTGGAAGCCCTCGCTGCTGCCGCCAAGAGACGCGGTCAATTAACTTCTCCCTGCAGCCAGGCTCCCTGACCCGGCCCGCCCACCCCGTCCCTGGCCGCCTCCTTCCTTCCCTGCCCGCTCCGAGTCCTCCCGCCTTGCACAGCCACGCTTGGACTGCAGAGCCTCAGCCCCGCCATGGCGCGTCTGAAGGATGCGGCTCTGCCCCGTGGGGCTGAGGAGACGTAGCCTTTTGGGGAACCGGTGGAGGGGGTTCATCTCAGGATACAGGCCCAGGGGTCTGAGGAAACACGGCCCTGAATTAAGGGGGATGGGGCTGAGGGCTTCACAGCCCCGCCCTGGGGAGGTTTCAGAGGCCGCCTTAACCCCGGCGGGTCGCACTTATGGGAGTGGCTGGGCCGGGCAAACCTAGCTGTTCCCCGGGGGCGGGGCGGGATGCAGTCTTCACCCCAGCTGCTTTCCTCCCAAGTCAGAGGCTTACACCCCTCTGCAGCCACCTGCTCAGAGTGAGCCTCCACCCCCATGATGTTTCATGTCCTTTCCTATAATGAGGCCAGTGAGTCCCGGTGGGTGGCAGCCAGGGCCCACGGTGTGCAGGTTGGAGGGAAGGGAAAGGACATTCCAGGCAGAGAACAGCAGGAGTGAGGGCCTGAGTGTCATCAGAACTCAGAGTCCGCTTGAATGGAGGGAGCTCCCAGATCAGCAGTGGAGAGGGACTCCCACCCACAGCCAGCACCAGAGTGCCCAGCCCAACCCAGGCCACATGCCAGCAGTTCCTCCACCCTCTCCCTCTCGGGATTGCAAGGAGGGGAGGCGCTGAGGCACTCACCGTTCACTGGGGAAAGCACTGCCTGGGGACCTGGGCCAAGATGGAAATTGGTGACTCCCAAGGCCCCCCCCACCAAGGTGCCAGGACTTGAAGGAATCCAGGCTGGGTTTGTCTCCCCAGAGTTCAGGACTCCTTATCCAGCCGCTGCCCCCTACTCATGTCTGCAGCAGGCAGCCAGGATGCTGTGTGGATCCATCCTGGGACATTCCATTCCAGTCCCATGAACCCCCGGGGAAAGAACTGGGCAGAGAGTACCAGTGACTGCAGCCTACAGGGTTACTGGCGGGCAGGCAGGAGACAGCTCCCTCCTTTTTCCCTTGGATCAGGCAGGCCCCATCCCTCAGAGCCACAGCTTCCCATCTGAAAGGTGGGAGCTCCCTAGAACAGATTTCCCAAATGTGGGGGGGAAATCCCACCTTCCCTCTAGAGTCAGGGCCTTTTGAAAGAGGGTAATCACTCTGGGAAATTGGGATGGCTCTGGGACCTGCTGCGCTGGAAAGTCCTGCCTGTGGTCTGACCTTCCGCTTGGCAGGTGGATGCAGATGACGTCATGACTAAAGAGGAACAGATCTTCCTGCTGCACCGTGCTCAGGCCCAGTGTGAGAAACGGCTCAAGGAAGTCCTGCAGAGGCCAGGTGCGGGTCAAAGGTGGGGGTCTGGGGATGAGGCCAGGTGAAGGAGCGGCCAGTTGAGGGTGGGACCCAGGATGCAGAGCCAGATGAAGGCTCTCCGTGGGAGTGGACTCAGGTAAAGTGGACCAGGCCAAAGTGAGGACCGAAGTGGGGTGGGTGGCGCAGGAGTGGAGTCAGCAGGCATGGCCGTCCTTGGCTTGTCCGAAGTCTTTTCTTTTTCTTTTCTTTTTCTTTTTTTCTTTTTTTTTTCTTTTTTTTTTTTTTGAGATGGAGTCTCACAGTGTCACCCAGGCTGGAGTGCAATGGTGCGATCTCGGCTCACTGCAACCTCAGCCTCCTGAGTAGTTTCGATTACAGGCACCCATCACCGTGCCCAGCCAATTTTTTTTTTTTTTTTTTTTTTTTTTTTTTTTTTTGTATTTTTAGTAGAGATGAGGTTTCACTGTGTTGGCCAGGCTGGTCTCGAACTCCTGACCTCGTGATCCCCCCACCTTGGCCTCCCAAAGTGCTGGGATTACAGGTGTGAGCCACCTCGCCTAGCCTGGCTCAGGTCCCTGTGTTGTCTACCACAGTGCTCAGACTGACAGCTGTCAGGTTAATCTCATCAATCCAAGAGGCCCAGACTCCAACTGACTGATGGAGGGGGCAGCTTCCTCCCCTGACGAGCCCTTAGGGCTCTGCAGGGATCAAGTCTGGTGCACACCCAGAACACAAGCACACAATAATGACATACACACTCTGTGGCACGTGGGTTTTGCTCACACTCAGAGACTCACATGGTCTCTGCAGTCACAGCCCCACCCATGCTGGCCCCAACAGTAACTCCCAGTTGCATCGAGATCTGAGGGTGCAGGTGGGGACCCCCTCACTCAGGTCCTGAACCCAGCCCCTCTTCTTAGTTGTAGAAGCCTGGAGGGTGCCTGTCTTTGCCCCTCCCCATCCACCATGGGGCTTCTCTCTTCCTACTTTACCTCATCTTGCTGCCCACATCCCCACACTGATGGCTGAGGGTAGAGGCAGGAAAATAAGCACATTCTCGTCCAGTCCAGGCTGCCTGGACTCGGATTCCCATCATTGCCACAGACCCGACTGGGAGGGCCAGAGGGCCCTAGCTTGGGCTGTGGCTGAAGGAATGCAAGTCAGAAATGAGGAAGACTTTGTGACTAGGAAGAAAGACCTCTCCAGCCTGGGCAACGTAGTGACACCCCATCTCTACGAAAAAATTAAAAAATTAGCCAGGTGTGGTGGTGCACACCTGTAGTCCAAGCTACAGGTGAGGCTGAGGTGGGAGGATTGCTTGAGCACAGCAGTTCGAGGCTGCAGTGATACATGATCACATCACTGCATTCCAGGCAGGGCCGCTGTGGAAGCTGTGAACCATATATTCAAGGTCCAGGGAAGGGGATGGGGTGGATTTCTCTGTCCGCTCTTTTTTCTTTTTTCCTAAGATTTTTGATTTTTTTTTTTTTTTTTTTTTTTTTAAGATGGGGTTTCACTGTATTGGTCAGGCTGGTTCTCGAACTTCTGACCTCAGGTGATCTGCCCGCCTCAGCCTCCCAAAGTGCTAGAATTACAGGCGTGAGCCACCGCGCCTGGCCTCTGTCCACTCTTGACTGTACCACCTTGCTCTCGTCTTCTCACCACCAGCTTCTTTACCTGCACAGCACTCAGGCCAGACCATTTTCGCTGTGTGATCTGCCCATTGACACCTCCACCCCCTCTGTCTGCCACCATGCGCCCCCTGGTGGGGCCTTCACTGCTGTGTGGCCTCGGCCCCCACTCCTGAGTCCTGGGTGGGAGGATCCACCTCTGCCATCTTACCCACATTTAGTGCCCACCGCACTAGCCAACCCTGCACTCCCATAGCGTTCACTCCCATTCCAACCCTGGGGGGCAATCTCCAGATCTTCTTATTGCTTTACCTGGCAAGCACTTTACACTTTGTTAAATGCCTCCTCACCCATTGTCTCAGATCTCCCAACAGCCTGGGTGTCAGCAGGGCAGGAGACAACCCCCCATTGTACAAAGGGGGAGTCTGAGTGCCCCGGGTCTCCTATTGTAGCACAGCTGACAGCCATCATTCCTATCCTGGTTTCTCCAGCCAACATAATGGAATCAGACAAGGGATGGACATCTGCGTCCACATCAGGGAAGCCCAGGAAAGATAAGGCATCTGGGAAGCTCTACCCCGAATCTGAGGAGGACAAGGAGACACCCACTGGCAGCAGGCACCGAGGTATGTCTCTATTTCCATGCATCCAGCTGGCATGGCCTTGGACCTGCGCACCCCACTGCACTGTCCCCATCATGTGAGCTCATGCTTCTTGGCTCTTGTAGAAAGTAAAAGGCTGCAGCCCCATCCCCAGGCAAGGGGCTGGGAGAAGAAAGAGTCTGGTGGGAAGGAAGGGGAGTGGATGGCTCAGGCCTCAAGGAGAGATGAACAGAGAACTCACCCAGAACCACACCAAGAGTGGACCCAGGGCTACAGCCTCACCCATGGAGAGAAAGAGAGATGACAGAGAACCCTGGGGGACAGAGAGGCAGGGAGAGATACGCAAAGAGAGATAGTGGCACATAGAGACAGAAAGGGAGGGAGAGACAGTCACAGAGACAGAGGAGACCAGGAGGCACACCCTGAAGTCTGGGGCTCAGTGTGTCTGAGGAGGCACATGGGGACACATAGTGGGGAGGGCCACAGAAATAGAGCAGGAGAGGACGGCAGTGGCAGAGGGTGGGGCCAGAGGCAGTGGGACAAGGAGGGAAAGGCGATGAGGAGAGGCAGACACAGAGCCCAGGCTTTGGCCACAGGGCCGGTTTGAACCGGCCGGGTGGGCAGCGGATTCCAGATGGGCCACATCTGGGAGGCTGTGGTCACCCTGTGGCTCCCTGGGGACCAGAGGGAATTGTGGGCCTGGCTGGGTGGGGCTGGGAATATGGCGCCCAAGACAGAGAGCCTTTCACCAAGCCAGGGTGGGTCCAGCCATCAAGGCAGCCTTCCAGGGTGGCTAGAGAGTCCTGTGGTTGGAGTCCTACAGAGGGGGAGAAGGGGGCTGCAAGCTGGGGGTGGAATGTGGAAGATCCAGAGGCTGGGGACCCTCCAAGTTCACTTAGCCTCCTCGCAGTGAGGCTGGGGCTCCAAAGTGGGTTGTCACCCTGCTTTGAATGCCACCATGAGCACTTAGATTTGGGGAATCATATCTCCCCCCGAGCAATGGCCATGGGAGACTCACAGCAGGTACTCAGGGCGGGCACTGGGTGGTGGTAGAAGCATGGGCCAATGTGGTTAATCCCAACTGCCCAATAAGGAAATGGAAATGGAAAGACTGGGACACCTGCGTGAGGTCAGCAGCTCTTTGGAGTCCAGCTGGCACTAGAAACCAGGCCTCCTGCCTCCTGTCCATGGTCCCAGGGGAGGGGCACACACTCCCAGCTGAGGGAGTGTTAGTCTGGGTACTTGCCCTTCTTCAGGGACACCAGGAAGGTGCTTCTGAGAGCAGTTGAAGAGGGCAGGGCCCTGTGCTGTATGACCTCAGCAAGTCGTCTACCTCTCTTGGCCTCTGTCAGCCTATCTGGAAAATGGGCCAGTGCCAGCACCTGCATTGCACAGTCCGTGGTAAATTCTATGAGGCCAGATGGATGCAGGACACAGAAATATGTTTTCTCCAGAATGCTCCAAAGTCTCAATTTTCCTGTCCTGGGGCACAGCTGTTCCTGCAGGAACCAACAACAGCAGATGTGTTCATCCCTCTGGGTCACTAACCATGACCCTGATGCTCCCTTGGTATCCCCTACCTTGTCTGTCTCTGGGCCCAGGGCGCCCCTGCCTGCCTGAATGGGACCACATCCTGTGCTGGCCGCTGGGGGCACCAGGTGAGGTGGTGGCTGTGCCCTGTCCCGACTACATTTATGACTTCAATCACAAAGGTGAGGCCTGCGGGAGGGGTGGGGATCACAGGGAGCCGAGACTTGGAACTCAGGGCTTCAGTGGCTCCAGACCTCCCTACCTGCCCTGACCTCCCATGGACCTGCAGGCCATGCCTACCGACGCTGTGACCGAAATGGCAGCTGGGAGCTGGTGCCTGGGCACAACAGGACATGGGCCAACTACAGCGAGTGTGTCAAATTTCTCACCAATGAGACTCGTGAACGGGTGAGAGTCTTTCTCCTCCCCAACCGGACCTGGATAAATTCACTCCCATCCCAGGGTGACCCCTGACCCAGCCCTGACCTAACCTCGGTCCCTCCGACAACCTTACCCTGGCCTCTCACTCTTACCCTGATGCTCGCCTTGGCTCCGGGGGATCTGAGTGTGTCTCCCACCCGCACAGGAGGTGTTTGACCGCCTGGGCATGATCTACACCGTGGGCTACTCCGTGTCCCTGGCGTCCCTCACCGTAGCTGTGCTCATCCTGGCCTACTTTAGGTGGGCGGGGCGAGGGCGGGGCGAGAGCCGGTGGGGCGTGGTCGGGGGGGGCCGAGGTCTGATGCGACCCCCTCCCTACACCTGTCACCCCTGGCGGGCGTCCCTACGTACTGCGCACAGCCCAGCTTCCTGCCCACCTGCCGCGCGTGCCCGTGCCCCCACCCACGGTGATGTGTCGCGCCCCGCAGGCGGCTGCACTGCACGCGCAACTACATCCACATGCACCTGTTCCTGTCCTTTATGCTGCGCGCCGTGAGCATCTTCGTCAAGGACGCGGTGCTCTACTCTGGCGCCACGCTCGATGAGGCTGAGCGCCTCACCGAGGAGGAGCTGCGCGCCATCGCCCAGGCGCCCCCGCCGCCCGCTGCCGCCGCTGCCGGCTACGTGAGTGCCCGTCGCCCGCCCGCTCCCGGTGCCGCCGCTGGCCTCGTGGGGCCCCGCCCCTGCCCTCCAGCCTGGCCCTCGCCCTGCCGGTCTCCTGCCGGCGCCACTAGCTTCAGCCACTCAAACCCGTCTCACAGGGTCCCTCACGTCCCTCAGCTCTGCCACCAGCCCTGCTGCCAAGGGCTCCGAGTCTCCAGATGCCCCGAGCTGCCATCAAGGCTCCTGCCTCAACCTAGTCTCCCCAGCCACTCCGCCTCTTCACTTTGCCTCCTGCCCCTGAAACCTCACCCCGCTGAGAGCGCTCCCCGAGCAGAGCCTGCCCCTTCCTGGCCTGCTGGGCCAGCACCCCTTGTCCCCTCCCACTGCCCCAGCCCCCAGCCCAGCCCGGACTTCCTGGAGGCAGGCCCTGCCCTCTGGCTAACGCCAGCTGGTCTCCTAGGCGGGCTGCAGGGTGGCTGTGACCTTCTTCCTTTACTTCCTGGCCACCAACTACTACTGGCTTCTGGTGGAGGGGCTGTACCTGCACAGCCTCATCTTCATGGCCTTCTTCTCGGAGAAGAAGTACCTGCGGGGCTTCACGGTCTTCGGCTGGGGTACGCAGGCGCAGTGGGCAGTGAGGCGCCCGCAGGGGTGGACCGTGGGCGGCAGGGAGAGGGCAGCCCCTGGGGACCGGTGCCACACAGCACATCCCATCCCAGGTGGAACAGCAGGAGAGAGGCCTGCCGCCCTTCTGTGACTGTGACCCCGTTCCAGGCTCAGGGAACAGGGCTTGCCAGCAGTCAGGTTACCTGGGGTCAGAGTCATCTGAAGTTGAGGCTCAGCCCAGGAGAGCGGGAGGAGGGACCATTAGGCCAAGATTCAGCTCAGGATCAGAGTAGGATATTGCATCAGAGGTCAGCCTGGGGCTAGAATTGGGATCTGGGACCCTTCCTTTACTTTGAGCCCCATGGACTAGGCCAGCATCTATTACCCCACCAGTCTCCTTGATGGGATGGGGTGGGGGACTGCCCACACCATTGTCAGCCTCAGCAGGCCTGCGGGGTCCATGACCCAGAGCCGTGGGCCCGGCCCCTCAGCATCATCTGGGCTTCACAGCCCCTCTGCAGAATGGGTTGCTAGAGCTGAGCACTCCTCCCAGCCCCCAACTGGCTCTGGGATCCAGTTACCGATAATTGTCCATTATTGTTGGCAGCTGCAGAGCTTGGCTGGGCTCCGGGGCAACTGGCCAGACTGCAGAGGGGTGGGCCGGGTGGCTGGAGCCCTCTCCGCACTCAGCACCCAGAGGCCCACAGGTCTACAGCCACTGCCTCCCTGCCCTTGGCAGACACCCAGACTCTGACCTCACCATGACATGCCCCAGAGTTGGGGAGACCTGGGCCCAGACCCAGAAATGAATGCAGGCTCTGGGGCTGGGGGGTGTCTGAGTGGGCTGGAGACATGCAGATTGGGAATGCATAGAACCTGGGGGCACAAGAATGTCACAGCTCTTCTTCCGACAATAAATCCAGGTCACGCCCTGTCCCTCCAAAGGTGCACCAGGCCTAGAATCAAGTTGGTGGTGTGTGGTGGGGAGGGCTGGGGCTCCCTTCCCAGAAACACAGCTCACTTAGAGATACCATGTGCCCCTTGAGTTGGCGCAGGTCGGGACACACTGACTTCCCTGTGGCCTCTGCTTGGGACAAAACCTCTCACCCCATCCAGTCTCATCCATGAGGGCTAGGACCTTTCAAATAAGGTTGTGGGGGCGCTGTGCTGGGGCAAAAATAATGCGTATATATATATAATCGGCCCCTCCCCATGGGAGCTGCAAGTCCAGAGCAGCGCCCGTTGCAGGGGAGTGGACAGTGCATGGGTCAGTTAGTGATACCTTATTATTACATTACGCCGTGTACCCCACCTGTGTGCATATGACACGGAGCCAAGATGGGGACAGAGGCTGAGCTGGGTTTTGAGGGCTGGAGCCCCAAGGAGAGGCTGTTAGGGCAGCACACTCCAGAGTGTGGCTCTGTCGCCAAGTGGCCCAGGTACCCAGGGTGAGGGAATCAGGGCAATGGTGGGGTAAGCTGGGCGTCATAAAGGATGAGGGAGGGTGACCTTGTGGACAGCAGCCACAGCCCCGCACACTGTCCCCCTCTGTGCCCGCAGGTCTGCCCGCTGTCTTCGTGGCTGTGTGGGTCAGTGTCAGAGCTACCCTGGCCAACACCGGGTAGGTCCAGGTGGAGAAGGGGCCCAGGCAAGAAGCCCTCTGGGTCCCTTTTCTTCCAGGAAGCATGTGAGAGGGCCTCCTGTACCCTGGCCTCAAATGGCCCAGCCTCAGGAGTTCTCAGTCCAGCCTCCAGCCAGGGCCCCCCTCAGGGTCACAGGAGGCTAATTCCAAAGAGGCCTGTGAGGGCGGCCTCAGGCCTGGCCGCCACACCCAACCCCCCCTGCCCTGTGTCCTCAACAGCTAATGTCAGTCCAGATCAACTCTGGGCCTCTGTGGGCAAGCTCAGGATGGGAACGGGCGGAATGGGAGCTAACGCCTCAACTTCCCCCAGGTGCTGGGACTTGAGCTCCGGGAACAAAAAGTGGATCATCCAGGTGCCCATCCTTGCCTCCATTGTGGTGAGTGGGGTCAGGGGGAGGCTGCTGGTCAGGGCTGGGTGGGATGTGGCCTGGGCCCCAGGGACCAGCCCCTGACAGTGACCTAGGAGGCTTCCCTGGACCCCCGGTGTCAGAGCCACAGAGGCCAGAGGACCAGCCGATCCACACTCCAGCCCAGAAAGGAAAACCAAGGACCCAGAGATGCAGTGACAGAGTAGAGCCTGTGGCCACGGCGACCAGGCCTTGCCCGCCCCACCCCCACCCCCCGCTAGGGTGCAGCCTCCAGACGCAGCCCTCTCACTCCCACAGCTCAACTTCATCCTCTTCATCAATATCGTCCGGGTGCTCGCCACCAAGCTGCGGGAGACCAACGCCGGCCGGTGTGACACACGGCAGCAGTACCGGTGAGCCCACCTTGCCTGCCATGCCCTGGCTCCTCAGGGGTCACTGAGTCCCGGTACCTGTCCAGGAAGGACAGGCCTGGGGCAAAGGAACGAGCCTGGGGCAAGGGAAGGACCCAGCGTCTGACTCCCTAGCTGTCCCCACTCACCTGGCCAGCCCCAGGCCCTGGCCTGCCCAGCAGTGATGGGAGGCCCTAGGGGTACCCAAAGCCAGCCTGTCTCCCGCTTGGTACCAGGCCCTGCACTAGAGTCTGCGAGGATGGGATGAACTTGAACATCTCCTCAAAGAGTTGGTTGTGGGGAGTCTGAGGAGCAGGAGCAGGTAGAGGGTGGGTGGCCCAGGAAGGTGGCAGCTCAGCTGAAACCTGAGGAGTGGGCCATGGCATAGCGAGGTACAGCCGTGGAGGGGAGTGCATGCCAGCTGAGGGCTCAGCAGGTGCAAAGGGCCCGGGTCCTGGGGCACTGTCATTTGAGGTCCACTCTGGGACACCGCTGAGGACCAAGGGGCCCCATTAGCACTTGGCTGGGAGCGCAGCCAGCAGGTGAACTGGGCTGTCCTCCCATGGTGACCAGAGTCCTGGGCTCCTTTGTGCTTCCGGAGCCCGAGGCTGGCAGGGCGGGGGGTGGCACGGTGCTTGTTGAAGGGGAAGGGGCTTGGCCCTGACCCACCTGCCCCACCGGCCCAGGAAGCTGCTCAAATCCACGCTGGTGCTCATGCCCCTCTTCGGTGTCCACTATATCGTCTTCATGGCCACACCGTACACCGAGGTCTCAGGGACACTCTGGCAAGTCCAGATGCACTATGAGATGCTCTTCAACTCCTTCCAGGTGCGCAGTGCCAGCCCGGGCCTGGCTGAGGGTGGGAGGGGTGCCGGGGACAGGCCCTGATTCCAGCCACCTCTCTTCACAGGGATTTTTTGTCGCCATCATATACTGTTTTTGCAACGGCGAGGTAAGCAGGAGACAGTGTTGGCACAGGGCAGGGGGGGGCAGATGTCCCAGAGGCCTCCTCAAGGTCTGTCCCTCTGTTCTTCCACCCTGCCATTTCTTCCTTCCTCCAAGAACACCCCTGAGGACATGCTGAAAGCAGAGAAGTCTTCCCAGATGGGGCAGGCTCAGGATGTGCAGGATTTGGGGACTTTTCAGTCACTGGCATAGCCGTGTCTTCCCAGCCCCACGATTGAAATCTCTGTGACCCAGATTGGAGGACTCAGCCACCTTTGGGGCAATTTGAGTCTCGTAGACTCTGGATGTGTCCGTTGCCTGCAGCCAAGCACCCTGTTCTGAGGACGGGATTTCACTTGGCCTTAGAGTTTCCCCGGCCAAGTTTTCATTCCGTGCTGGGTGTTCAGGGGCGCGGATGGGCCATCGCTGGGGTTGGGAGACACACCTGACTGCTGCACCCCTACCACCCCAAGGTACAAGCTGAGATCAAGAAATCTTGGAGCCGCTGGACACTGGCACTGGACTTCAAGCGCAAGGCACGCAGTGGGAGCAGCAGCTACAGCTATGGCCCCATGGTGTCCCACACAAGTGTGACCAACATCGGCCCCCGTGTGGGACTCGGCCTGCCCCTCAGCCCCCGCCTGCTGCCCGCTGCCACCACCAATGGCCACGCTCAGCTGCCTGGCCATGCCAAGCCAGGGGCCCCAGCCCTGGAGGCCCTCGAGACCACACCACCTGCCGTGGCTGCTCCCAAGGACGATGGGTTCCTCAACGGCTCCTGCTCAGGCCTGGACGAGGATGCCTCTGGGCCTGAGCGGCCACCCACCCTGCTGCAGGAAGAGTGGGAGACAGTCATGTGACCAGGCCCGGGGGTGGGGCCTGCAGCCATGGTGGATGGACAGATGGACCAAAAGATGGGTGGTTGGATGGTTGCCCACTCACGGCTGGGGCTGAGAGAAAAAACAGAGGAAAAAAAAGAAAAAGGAAAAGGAAGCGGTGTGTGGCTTCCTGTGGCCCAAACTGGGGACTCACTCCAAGGCGGGTGGGGCTGGGAGCCAGGGGAAGCTGAGGGGGCAGGGGGAGGGCCGTGAGTCATGGAGGAACCCTCAGGTCTCACTTCAGCAGGGGGAGGGCTCTGGGGCCTGTGGTATCATCCAGCAGAAAGGGCCCAGAGAGGCTGAAATCTGCAAGGGAAACACAGTAGCCAAGTGGACCCGTGTGGGAACGTCCGGCCTCAGCCTCCCCTCCACCATGGCTGCCTGCTGTGGAGCTGCTCTGCATACCCGAACCTAGGCCCCATGGGGACCCAGGCTCCTCTAGACCAACTCTTCTGCCTGCCGGCCACCCAGGGCTGTTGGCAGATCCCTTAAGTCCCTGGCCACACCTCCAGGCCTGTGGCCCTGCCACGGAGTGGACCTTTCCTGGCTGTCCCGCGGCTGCTCAGAGCCCTCCATGCGGGAGCCTCGGCATCCACTCGACCTGACGTGCCTCAGTAACCGGGGTTGCAGGAGGAGCACCAGGGCCAGCAAGTGAAGGGTGGGCTGGGTCCCCACTCTGGCTCAGGAATTGTGGGGAGCCAGGTGTCCGAGCCCAGAGGGCTAGCTGGGCAGGGGCCTGCAAAATTGGACACATCCACTCACTATTCATCTGGGATAGTCACTAAGTGTCCTCATCTGACACCCTCTTACCACCTTACCCCCCTCTCCCACTTCGGCCATTCGTGGCCCCAGAGTGGCATAGAGCCCCTTGGCCCAACGCCTGAGGACTGACCCTATGGTGTGCCCACCTCAGGCTTCTTGCTCTTGCTCCAGCCTGAAGACGGCCCTGCCTCCAGGCCGCCTCACGAGCCGGCCCTACCTTCCCATCTCCCGCTCAGCCCACCTTGCTCTTCTCCATGGACTCGCCACCCAGCAGTGCACCCCATCTCCAGCAGCCCCCACATCCTGTGGGGAATGGGGAGGGGTCAGGAGGCCCAAGACAAAAAACTCAGGTGGGCGTTAGGTGGCGTGGGCACACGCTGAGCAGCCTCAGGCCCAGCCCTCCCTGCCCTGTCCAAGGGCCTGGTGGAGCTCCGTGCAATGGCTGGGGGGGCATAGGCCAGTCTTGAAGGGCTGCCGAGCCAGGCTGGGAGCCATTGGAAGTTCAAGAGGGAGAGCAACAAAGTCTGAATGTTTTAAAAAGTCCCCACATCCATGTGGAGACCAGAGGAGGCTGCACAGGGGTTGGAGAAGAGGTGGCCTGGCAGGGAGATGGTGATGGAGAGGGAGGGGCTGTTGTCAGGAAGGCCCCTGCGTGAGGCGCTAGCTGGGCAAAGGAGTCCTCAGCAGGTCGGACCCCCAACCTCCTCCCCAGGGATGTCCCATGCCGCTCTCCAAGGTCTGAAAGGCAGGTTTCTGAAGTAATAAGCCCATGAGCCCCACTGACCCGGAAGCATTCAGACTGGGCACCCCCCCCGCAGGGCTGTGGCTTCCCTCTCAGGCTGGGTGCCCCCCAGGTGGAGGTGGGCTCTCCTCTCAAACTGGATTCCCTCTAGGTCAGGCTTTGGCCTCTTCCTACAACCAGGGACCCCTGATCCCCACCCACATCCCAGGACAGGGCTGTGTCTCCCCACTCAGCCTGAGTGCCCCAAGGTCAGGGCCAAGCCTCTGTCTCAGATAGAGTGCTGCCCAGGGCAGAGGTGCACCTGTCCTCTGCCCTGCTGGGTAACCTGGAGGACAGGGCTATCTCCCCCATTAGACTGGTCACCACCTTCCCTTTAGATGGAACTCCCCTCCAGATACAGCTGTCCTTCCCCTTTGAACTAATGCCCCCGGGACACGCATCTCAGGTTTGGTGTCCCCAGGCCAGGGCCAGGCCTCCCACACCAGCTGGTTGCCTCCTAGAGAAGGACTGCCCTCCCCTGAGGATATCTGCACCCAGGACAGTGCCAGGCCTCCATCTTTGGACTGGGCACCATTTTCCCCTCCGTCCGCATGTCCAGGATAGGACTGGACCTCTCACCTCAGTCCAAGTCCCCTAGGCCAGGACCAGGTCTCCCCGCTTAGGCTAGGAGCCCCCAGGGCTGGCCTCCATTCACAGAGGCCTCCGAGCCCCACCTGGGCCATCCGGGTATTGGCAGCAGAAGTGGAGCGCTCAGCAGGCCTGGCAGGCAGGACCCTGTTTGCCTTGAGCAGGGGCTGGATCCAGGTGGTCACTTCTCCCTTCAAGGCCCCACAGCGAAGCCAAGCCACAGGGAACACGTAAACATCAGCAGAGCTGGGCAGGGGTGTCAGCAGGGAGGAGGGCACCTGGAGACCCCAACTCCTCAGCCTCCTTGGCTGTGGGATCTGGCACCTCTCAGGCTGCTCCAGACTCCTACAGGCAGGCCCGCACAGTGGCCAGGCCCTGTTCCACCTGTCTTGAGCACATGTACGGCCCCACCCCTTGATGGCCTGTCTCCCTCAGCCCCGGCTGCCAGAAGCATCGCTGAAGCCCCTTGGAAGGAACGGACCTCCTGGGGGCGCCGCTCTAGCCCTGGAACACAGGCCCAGCCTCACGGGAAAGCTAGTGGGTGCACAGCTCCCAGCTTAGAATAGGGTCAAGCTCTGCCACCCCCCATCTGCCAGCCCCTGTCAAGAGCCAAGGACTGAGCTGGGCCCCACGTGCCTGGAGTGGGCGGGCTGTGAGGGTCCACACTCTTCAGCCCTCACCCTAGGAGGTGGCCAGAGGGAGCGTGGACGGACAGGAAAGTGGGCTGAGTTCTCTGGAGGTTCAAGAGGGACATGACCCTGCCCCTCCCTCCCTGGGGTCTTCGAGGACACAGCCCTGCTCTGGGGGTCTGAGGGGACGTGGACCTATGCTAGGGATCTGAGAGTGCACTGGCTCTGCGTGAACTGCTGGAAGAGCCGTCTGGCTGTGGGGGCCCATTGTGGGGGGCTGGGGTGAGGGGGTGCAGCTCCCTGCCCCTGGTGCCTCCTCAGCCAATGCCAAGAGAATGATCCCACCCTGAGGCTGCCATGGCCAACGGAAACAAACCTTGCCTGAGGGACTGGTCCCACTGGCTGGGAGGGACAGAGGAGGAAGGGACTCCAAAGCTGGGCAGGGGCCTGAAGCCTGGCTGGCTCCGGGTGTGTGCTGTGTGGCACTGGGCAAGCCACCTTCCCTCTCTGAGCCTCAGCTTCTCCTCACTGGTCAGGCCCCTGAATGGGTTCAGGATCCCACTTTGCTCCTCAACAGCCTCCCAGGCCTTGACAAGGGAAGGGACAGGACCCCTATCCTCCCCTCAGGACCTCCCCCTGAGGGCTCCCTCACTCTTCAGTGCCACGGGCAAGCAGGCAGTGAAGGCCAGGTGAGGGTGGATTCTTCTTGCTCCAGCATTTTTAACAGGCAGGGGCAGCCTTGGCATGGACCGCACACTGGCCCTTGCCTGGAGGCCACAGTCAGACTACCTGTCCACAACAAACTCTTGTCCATACATCAGCAAGAGAGGGGGGCGCACTGGGTATCATTCTTTATGTGCGAGTGTTCGTATGTGGGCACTACATGTGTATTTCTTCATATTTGTGTACAGAGTGTCTGTCAATGTGTCCATCTGTGTGTCTGTGCTTCTGTTTGTGTACTTGTGTATGTGTGGCCATGTGTGTTTCTATGTGTATGTGTCTGGATATGCCTGTATGTCCATTTGTATGTGTCTGTCTTCTGGCATGTCTATGTGTGATTGTATGTGTGTGCACCAGTCCGTGTGTATTTTTGTATGTGTCTGTGTATTTGTATATTTGTGTATTTCTGTGTGTATGCATGTCTATTTGTGTGTGTATGTCTATTTGTATATGTGTGTCTGTTATGTCTGTGTATGTATGCGCGCCTATGGTTCGCTGTTGGTGTATGTCTGTGTGTATTTAAATGAGTGTATTTGTGTGTGTATGTCTGTGTATATTTGTGTGTATATTTGTGTCTGTCTATAGATTTGTGTACGTCTGTGTATTAGTATGTGTATGTGTGTGTCTGTCTCTATTTGTGTTTATTTGTGTGTGTTTGTATATTTGTGTATGTCTGTGTGTGTGTGTCTATTTGTGTGTGTGTGTGGACTCGTGGTCTGAGAACGCCGCCTGTGGGTGGAATTTGGCTCACAGAATGTTTGGTTTGGCACTCACAGTATTTTCAACATCTTGAGCCAACATTTAAAAATCAGGATATTTCACATAAAAATTCAGCTTTCCAACTTCTCTTAAAAATTCAGAAGCCCTGGCAGCCCTGGGTCTGCGTTCCCATGAGGCCACGCTCCTCCCGAGCTGCGCGGGGCCGGCCTCCTCCATGGCCTCCACAGCCTCGCCTGCTTGTCTCACCCACCAGCGTCTTGAGGATGGCTGAGTGTGCGAACCCAGTGTGTGGTCACAACTGAGTGTGAGCCTGGCTGTCAGGGAATGTGTGTATGAGTGGGGTGAGTGCATGTGTGTGAATGTGTATGTGCATGTGCACAAGTCTGCATATGAGGCAGATCTGAGTGTGTGCAGTACGTGTGAATGCCTGCATGTGCGCGTGCATGTGTGAAGAGTCTGCATGGGGGAACACGTGTGTAAAAGTATGAGTGTGCACGTGTGTGTGCAGGGGAGTGGCCATATTTGTGGCTGTGTGGAGTGTGTGGGCCTCAGTGGGCTGGCACGCTCTGCAAGGGGCCTCTTCCGGCCTTTGAGGGGGAATTGGATTCCCGACTTCTGGCTGGGCCGCCTTGTGGGATTTATTTCTGTCTCAGTGCCCACTGGAGGCCTGAGTAATGGGAACATTTAAAGAAAACCAGTAAATACATACAGAAGGGGCAGGCTGGCTGGGAAACTCAGCCCAGACACCCCTGCCCAGCCCACAGCTGCCAGGGCACCAGGGCAGGCCAGAGCCCAGGAAGAAAGAAGCCCCTGCGTGGCAGTACCCCGTCACTGTGGGGTGCCCACTGCTACCCATGCAGGCCCCCACCACCTGGATGGATGGTCCCTGGGTCAACACTGGGCATCTTGAGAGCT